ATATATATATATATATATATATATATATTAAGGATTGAACGGTATCAGAATTTCACGGTACGGTAATACCTCGGTATGAATGTCACGGTACGGTATTTATTGAATCATTTACAGGAAAAACAAAACTTTTGAAAATACTCCAAAAAAGTGCCAAAAGTGTCAATGACATACAAATTAGCCATCTATCTGTAAGCTTTGAAACAGGAACTTCAATTTTAATAACAAAAAATTATTAAACCATGTAAAAAAAAATAAAGTTTCAATTTAGTATTGTTGAAAACTCATCACATTCAACATTTAATCACTCACTCACTTACTTAGATAGAGATGGGTTTAAAGGAAAATTATCATATAACTATAATCTGGTAAAAGCTGGTATCTCTGGGCATTTACAATGTCCCCTGCAACAGAAAAAAACCCTCTCATTTGGGACTGAGGATTCTGGGACAGAGATATGACTTGGCCCAGGTTGACAGCAGTGGGTAACATTGTGCATTGTCTTTCCCCCACTTGAGAAGACAAACCATGAGTGAGATAGAGGTCTCTTTGCGGTACAAGTCAATGTCTGCATCAATCTGAACAGTGTGCTGTGTTTCTGCAGTCCCCATGACTGCTATTAGTCGTATTCCCCAACTTGCAGGCACGTGCACACATAGGGCTCAACCTGTGCAGTGCACATGCCCTTTTTAGTCTTGGATAGAAAGTGCCCTTCCAAAACGATCAAAAGTGCCCCCGCGACGCGACACAACCTCCGTCCAGCCCTTCAGTAGACAACACTGCTCTTGAGTATGCGCGCTCAACCCCCCCCTCGGCGCTTTACAATACGCGCGCAACAACACAGCTGATCAGAACGCGCGCGACAACACTGCTATTCAGTACGCGCGCGGCGACAACACCCGCTTTAGGTTCGATCATTTCCATCTTTTTTCATCTCCGCTACTAGCAGCACACTCCATTTCCGTATTACTGGATCTGTAGCGACAACAGACCGCAAAGGATTATGGCCACGCCTGGGCTGATGGGAAATGTAGTTTAAGCTACCTCCCGTTCGCTTCATTCGCCTGAGCAAATTTTCTCAGAAGACCTATAGTTTTACCGAGTCATGCGACTTCGGTAATATCGAAAAAAATTAATATTGCGGTATGACGGTATTTACAATACTGTTACATCCCTAATATATATATATATATATATATGTATATGTATAAGTATGTATCGGTTGTAACGAGTGGTTATTTGAGTCACTGTTGCCTTTCTATCAGCTTGAACCAGTCTGCCTATTTTCCTTTGCCTTCAACAAAACATTTGTGCCCACAGAACTGCCCCTCACTGGATATTTAATATTTTTCTGACCATTCTCTGTAAACCCTAGAGATGGTTGTGTGTGAAAATTCCAGTAGGTCGGCAGTTTCTGAAATACTCAGACCAGCTCATCTGGCACCAGAAACCATGCCACATTCAAAGTCACTTAAATCCCCTTTTTTTCTCATTCTGATGCTCGATTTAAACTGCAGCAGATCGTCTTATCCATGTCTACATGCCTAAGTTGCTGCCATGTGATTGGCTGATTGTAAATTTGCGTTAACGAGCAGTTGGAGAGGTGTACCTAATAAAGTGGCCAGTGAGTGTATATGTAAACATGAAATCAAATTACTTAAAAAATATAAATGCATTGATTAATTGATGGATGTATATTTTTTTCAATCAATCAATCACTCAATCAATATGGGATTTTTCTCTCATACAAATTATTAGGGACGTTAAATAGAGTTGAATGGTTCAGCCTTAAAAAATGTCTTGAAAAATATGCTGTGTATTTGCAGGATTTTGCGCTCAGGAGGAGGACGAGGCTGAATGTGAGGTGAGAATGTGACACTCCGAACACACACTTACATGCACGGCGTGTGCCTTTTCTCAGTCGCCGTTTTAACACACTTTCACGTTTAAATAAGCGTGCTGTAGGCATTTATCTGTTTAATATTTATTTCTCTACTTTTTTCCCCTCCATCCATGCCGGGCTTTTTTTGACGCAATGATACTTTGACTTCAGAAATGGAAACATAAAAGCAAAAACAGTGTGATGCAAAATGAAGCAAGTCTCTGGGGAGTAAAAGCTGGATGTCATAGCAAGTTTAAAGGCTTCACAAACAATAATTAAAAAATAAAACATAGTACAACAAAATGTACTTTTAATTAGGAAACCAAATCATAAGGAGTTTCGCTTCGTAAATAATTCCATTTAATGATTGTCTTAGTACTTTTTTTTTAGGAATAAATAATTGGAATTTGAAGTTTGTCGTTTGAAAAGCATTTTTGAGAAAGTGTGGAGAGCTTTTTAGGTTTTTCATAAAAGCTGCATCATATGTATAAAACATGGTTATGGCGACTTGTAGTTGGAGAACTTTTTAAAAGTGTTCCTCCATGTAAACAATCCTAATATAAATGCATATTTTTCAAATTATTTGTATTATCATGCTTTTAAAGTAACCTGTTTTTATTTGATTTGTTATAATGGAATAAAATATATGCAATAGCTGAATGGGAACTAAATGTATTTGTTTAAAAATACAATTAAAACTGTAATACTTTGAAATAAAAATGACAAATTAAAATAATTTGAATATATTTTAAAATGTAGTTAATTTCTTTAATGCACAATGAATTTTCTGTAGATTTCACAACCCAGGCTCTTTCTGAAAATGTACCCCTATGTACATTTCTGGAGAGCACCAATATCTCCCAGGAGCATTTTTTTTCTTCCTGTTTTTGTTTTCACGAATCCATCAGAGGCCACTGTGTACGCTTTTTGAGATCTAAAATTTGTGTGTCCATTTGGACCAAAAGTCAACAAATATATATTTTTAATTATTCATGTTGAATGTCATCTTCTCCATAATAACTATACTTTTAACACTGTTAAACTTTTTAATAGAAACATGTTGAAAAAAAATATGTTGGTATACAGCTAGAGAAAGACTTGTTTTTACACTTTATTTAAAATATGTAGCTAATAAATATTCATTCAATCATTTTACTTTGGCTTAGTCTCTGATTCATCAGAGTTCACCACAGTGTAATGAACTGCCAATTATTCCACCATATGTTTTACACAGCGGATGTTCTTCCAGCTGCAACCCAGTACTAGGAATCACTCATACACACTCATTCACACTCATACACTTTGGCCAATTTTTTAGTTTATTCAATTCACCTCATGTGTTTGGACTGTGGGGGAAACCCACACGGATATGGGGAGAGCATGCAAACTCCACACAGAAATGCCAACTGGCCAAGCTAGCACTCGAACCAGGGACCTTCTTGCTGTTTGGTGACAGTGCTAACCATTGAGCCACCCTGCCTTCTGGCTAATAAAATTCATTAATTCTCCTTTAGCTTAGTGCCTTTATTTATCAGGGGTCACCACAGCGGAATAACCTATCCAGCATACGTTTTACGAGGTGGACACCCTTCCAGTCGCAACCCAGCACTAGGGAACACCCATACACACTCAATCACACACGTACACTCCAGCACTTTAACTTATTCAGTTCACCAATACCGCATGTCTTTGGACTTTGGGGGAAACCCACACTAATAAGGGGAGAACATTCAAACTCCAACCAAAAACACCAACTGACTCAGCACGGGCTCTAACCAGTGACCTTCTTGCTCTGAGGCAACAGTGCTAACCACTGAGCCACCATGCTGGCTAATAAATATCTGAAATTACATTTTTGGGATCAAGCAAGTAAAATAAGTGTTTAAAAGGTATAAACTTAATTCATAATGCTCTTTTTTGAACAAGTCATATTTTGACTTGATGATACCTGCAGAAACCCTGTTAATTAGTCTCCATCAGACAGAAGAAAGCACCTTTGGTACGATGAACTGTAATAAATTCTCCTCCCTCTTCTTCCCTCTTTCTCCAGCAGAAACAAGCACCTCTAGGCATGTGACAGAAGCACAACAGGGGTCTGTAATGTTTTGCTGTGGGGATTTCCACCTTTGGTTTTTCACCGATCCTTTAAGGTATGTCCAACACATAGGTCAAACCAAACACATTCATTTTAATGTTGGATCAAATACTGATTGTGTCAAAGTTGCCTAAAGCAGTGTTCACGCTCATTGGCTTCTTTTGTGGCATTTAGTCTAGATCAAAGCTAAAAATAATACATTTATTGCTGGATTGCTCAGCATTGACACACACAAGACCAAATTTAAAGAGACAAAACCTTTAAAAATAGGCTTTTTATTATGTATTTTTTGTTCTACTTAGCTTACCGAAAACAATGTTGTTTGATAAATCGACTGGTTATATGTATATGTAATGGGATTTTTGTTAGATGACGAACTAATGAAGAGCTTAAAAACAGTAAAACTGAACTACACTGTTCCAGTTACTATGACCATTTATGTGAAGCTGCTTTGACAAAATCTACATTGTAAAAGCGCTATACAAATAAAGCTGAATTCAATTGAGTTGAATTAAAGCAGTCAAAACAGCGCCATGGATTCATTTATCGCACATAAATATCAGTTTTTTTCAGCAAAGATACACATTTCTGACACCTGTATGGGTTTAATATAAAACATTTTGACTATGATAAACAACTAACTAAACAATTGTGCATTCTGACCTTTTCATGGTCATATTTTGTGACCAGTATCCTATTTAGTAGAGCTGCATTATTCTGGCTAAAATGAGAATCGAGATTTTTTTGCTTAAAATAAAGATTGCGATTTTCTCACGGTTCTGAAGATGTAAAATAATAGTTAATATTAGTCAGCTATAATTATTGTATTTTCTCAAACATATGGCAAAACAACAATAATAATATTATGCGTAGGTCTACTGGTTTCTGTAAATAATTATATTCTATTTATAATAATTTTGATGTTGAATTATGTTTGGGATATATGCTTGCAATCTGCCTTTGACAACAATATTAGACCATTTAATTCGCTGGTAAAATCAACATTATTGTCACCGACTCGGTCCCAGTAACTCCCCTCGCTGGCCAGCAGAGGCCACCATCTCCGGACTTTTAGCATTACGTCATCCATCTACACTGATTGCGCATACACCTGATTGGAATCTGGCTTATGACCGACGTACCTCTTATAAGCCGCACTCAAACACTCGTGCAGTGCAAAGTCTTGTTTAGCCCCGGCCAGCATTTCTGAGCGTTATCTCCAGCCTGATCTCCTGTGCACGGCTCCAGTCTGTCTCTTACTCTGCTTCGCCTTCTGCCTGCCCACGACCCACGCTTGTTACACGGACTCTCATCCTCGCTGCCTGCCCTTGACCCTAGCCTGCTTAACGGATCCTGATTCTCGCTCTCTCCCTTCTACTCATGCCTGGTAACTCACTCTGTGTCTGTTCATCATCAGTCTTGATACCCATACTACTACTTTGGATGTGTGTGTGCACTCCGGTGCATATTGTGTGTTTGAGTGAAGTTGTGATTAATAAATACTGCATAATGGATCCTTCCGTGTCAGTCTCCTCGTTACAATTATATAGGCTAGCACTGTGAATATTTGTTTTCATGCACAACTGTGTGTTCGCTATGAAAGAAAAAAACATATCAAATTCTTGTCGCAGTCATAACTCTGAAAATGCGATATGATTATTTATATGATGTATTTATATGATTTATATGATCATTCTTTCTGTTTCATTTTCACTGCTAAGTGCTGTTCATATTTCGCGCGCTGCTCTCAAACGATCACTCTGTGCCACAAACTGAATATTATCTACAACTGTATTACCTGTTACTCGCAACATATGTGGGTTCTGTTAACTAAAGTAGACCCGCGCGCGTCTATCATTCAGTAGGCCGCGCGCCCGCACAATCAGCAGCTCACGTCACGTGTGATTTCCCGGCCGTGAATAAATCATTAAATGAAGACAAAAATGACATTTTTGGGTGAATTATACCCTGTAAATACAGTATGTGACTCTTTTAACATCATTTGGAGGTGTCCATGTCGCTGAGCAACGTGTGTGAAACAATGAAAAGACTCATGCAGCCGCCTTTGCTTCTCTCCTGAACTTGAAAATATGATTGACAGAATCGTAGAAATGTTGGATTAAGATCGTCTAGGGGTCGAATCGAGATCACAATCTTTTTTTGATGAATTGTGCAGCTCTAGTATACACACATCACATATGAAAAACACATTCAGTCCAACACACAGCATTATGTGGATGTTCATTAAGTTCTGTAGCAGCAGTTACATACATTTTTGTGTTTTGTACGTTTTGTTTTGCACTTAGAAACATCTCTAAGCAAAGCATGACTACCTGTACTATTTATTTAGCAAAATATTGAACCAGGAGAACCCAACTACAAGAGTGAAGACACCCAAAAATGTCTTTTTTTTTCCAAGGACAAGGCACTATCCATACCATGGCATTATTACCTCTGTACTCCAGAATAATGAAAATCTGCAACATTGAGGCCTCGTAGGATTAATTAGTTGAACACCTCGGAGACAGGATGATTTATTTTGATTTACATAACAGAACAAGTGGACCAGGCAGCGGGCCATTCGTAAAAAAAAAAAAAAAAAGAAAGTCCACACGTCTTTTATTATGGCGAACGTGCCTCGGTCGTTTAACTAGGTGAGCTTTAGACGATGGAAATAGCCGTGACTCTGGCCTCTGCGGGCTTCGTCTGTAGCCGGATGCAAAGAGGTGACAGAACTACAGGCTTAATTTAAAGACCACTTTTCGCCCCCTGTGGTTTCTATGATAAAGACATCTGACAATAGTGCAGCCCTAATTTATGGCCAGACCAAGTGCATTAATTGATTTTTACATTTCGCACCATCCTGTTCCCTTATTAGAGGGAAGCGTGAGGCAATTTATCTGCCTTGATATGCCATATTCATGGCCCTGATTGTAATTTTTTGACAAAGTGGCATATTTCTCTGCAATGAACTCTACAGCGCGTATGGATATACATTTAATCATTTTCTAATAAGCTCTTTTAGAAGGATTCATAAAAAAATCCTCTCAGAATACGGAGTGAATTACTGTAATGCGGTTAATGCCGTCTGTCGGAGTAGTAAAAATAAATAAATATTAATATGAAATAAAAACGTCACAGAATAATCAAATAACCCGTTCTGCCAGATTCGCCATTATGTCTGTGAATGGACCAATTCTACAGTTATTAATTATAAATGTCCCCCTAATTGACTTGGATGAGCTGTTCATTTTCCACTTTTCAGAAATGAGGCTTTCTGCGCTTTGTGTTTTTCACACGATTAGGCAAAGAATGGGTCATTCTGAATAATGGAGCGTTCGCACATACAGCCGTTTTAGTCATTCATTGGTTGAATCCACTGCTTATTTACATAAAGTTAAACTTAAAACACGTCGCCACAATATTGGATCGTCAGTCACTATCAAAATAGATTCTTTTGATTTACTGGACGGGGTGTCACGGTGGCGCAGTGGGTAGCACGATCGCCTCACAGCAAGAAGGTTGCTGATTCGAGCCTTGGCTGGGTCAGTTGGCATTTCTGTGTGGAGATTGCATGCATGTTCTCCCTGTGTTTGCGTGGGTTTCTTTGGGGTGCTTTGGTTTCCCCCACAAGTCCAAAGACTATAGGTGAATTAGGTAAGCTAAATTGTTCATTGTGTATGTGTTTGTGTTTGTGAATGAGAGTGTATGAGTGTTTCCCAGTGATGGGTTGCTGCTGGAAGGGCATCTGCTGTGTAAAATATATGCTGGATAAGTTGGCAGTTCATTCCACTGTGGAAACTCCTGATTAATAAAGCAAATAAGCCAAAAAGAAAATGAATGAATGATTTACCGGTCATATTTGGTATGGGTTTGAATTAATTGTTATTATATATTGTGTTGTTTATTTATTGTGGATTTTTTTTTACTGGCCTGAAAATTTTCACTGGCCCCACCAAAAAAAAAAAAAAGTTAATAGCCATTTCTTACCCACATGTGTTAAATAATGTGTCAATCTAGAATTGTGAATCTAGAATTAAAATTGTTCAAAAAAATTTTAATAAATATTCATTCATTGATATTGTTTTTCGGCTTAGTTGACACACCAGAATGAACTGCCAACTTATCCAGCATATGTTTTATGCAGCGGATGCCCTTCCAGGTGCAACCCATCTTTGGGAAACATCCATACACTCTCATGCTTACCACTGCCCCACTTCACCGCTATATGTGTTAATAAATATATGAGCAAAATTCTAATTGTTATTTAAACAAAAAGAGCAGTATAAACATCCAATCATTAACTTGTTGTGTACTTGATCTAAAAATAAATATAAACCTGTCTGAAAACACTATGTTTTGTTATTTTATGCGGAAAAAAAGAAGGTTAAATCACCGAGTTATGAACAGTTTTTTCTAAGCTTGCTTTACAATAGCATATAGAGCTGTGGCTGATAGTCGTTTGAGATAATGATTCCGCATCAGTTCTAAGATGTTCAAAATGCATCACTATTTTCTCTTGAACAATTTCTGAGCTTAGTATTTAACAGCAGATTGAGCTCTAGTTTTTGACAGTGTCTGTGCATTAAAAATTGATTTAAGAAAGATGTGTAATTAATTTTGAAAATTTCAGAATCATTGCAGAATTGATTTCTCAAAAGATTTTCCGCCACAACTATAATTACATACTTTTTTGTATTCTTTTTTATCTAAGAAATACCATTTGTATGCAATATTGTTTTATTTCCTATCAGTTTATGCTTAAAAATTGTTTTAGAGTAAAACTGTTACCATTTTTTAATGTGGCAGTGATCACATTGACAGAAAAGCCAAAACATTTTTTAAGTTTGCAGCAAAGCTCTTATATCTGCCCAGAGCTCTGCAGATGTCTTTAAATTTTGGCTTTAGTTGCAAACCAAAGTGCTTCCCTGCGTTTTTCTCAGCAGCTTTTGTTACCTTACAGGCAGGAACGTCTCTGCGTTTTTCAGAGGATGCACCTTATTCCCATGCATTCTGGCTGCTCCATGATCTGATCTTATTTTGAGTTTCCGTAAA